ATTAGTCCCAAGTGATTGGCATGAAATGCCTGATCATCTCATGGTGTCTAAGTGGATAGAAATAAATGTCACATAGTCAGGTGGGATGCCCTTGACAGCTTCATCTAATTCTTCTTACAGTTTGGTACAAAAAGTCACAGCGTTCTAAAAGTTTTATTTAGCTTTTCTGAACTTTTGTTGACCTTCCTTTCTCAACCCTTAATCCTAATCAAACTTTGTTTAAACAGGGTAAAAATACACTTAGATAATGTAGAATTGCTAAAACATCTTCACTGTCAAAGACTACCTTTATCTTTGTTTTGTCGTAATCCTTCAATCCTTTTAATCATAGAAATGAAACTTAAAAGTTGAATTGAAACCCTAGTTGTCTAGTGAATGTCATGTGGCCTGCTTAGATGTCTGATCGAAGGCCATGAGGCTCACAGCAGCCGTCATTGTCCTCGTTCAACGCACTGAATAGTAATTAAATATGCCACTTATGCTTCACTGATTCATTTCCTTCACAAATTTGAAGCTCAGTAGAATACTTTTTTTTTCTGTGCAGAAGGGCTGTATTGTATCCAGTATGGCCTCATTACAAGGGCAAAAGGGCTTGGTGTGGGGGAGGGCAGGGGCAGGGAGGGGGAGAAGCACCCCATGAAGACATTGTGCTTAACATCACTAAATACCTCAAACGCCACATTGTCCTTCCCAGCCCTCAATTAGTAGGGTTTCATGTTGGAAGCACAGATTTCATACAGGGAGATTTATTTTTAGAGAAAATCCGGCCCTGTGCAGGCAGGAAACTCTTTGAAAATCTAATGAAGAACACACCAGTCATGCAGCGTTTTCAGTCTCAGAGCAACATTGGTTAACAAAGCTCTTCTTCTGCGTCTCTTCTGCTAAAAGCTAGACCGTGGTGGCTGTAAGTGTAGCCTGCACTATCAGTGTTGGACAGTGTCCAGCCAAAGAGGCTCTTTGCCCTGCCCTCAGGCCCCTTCAGCTTGTGGATCTCCGTGCGGAGGAACGCCTCTTTGGTGGCTGTGACAGGGAGAATTAGGCAAGAGATGCAGGTTCACTTGCCCTGCATAGGGGCTTATCTTGAGCTAAGCTGAGGGACTAATAGCAAAGCCAGCCTCTGCTCCAGCCGGTCTGAGGGCACAGGGAACCATCTGTCCACTCTGTGGATAACTGACAACAAAGGGGACAAACATTGAATACGGACTGCAAACTTCAAGGCTCTTCATTTAGGTGCAAAGCAGAAATAAAGAAGAGGAGCAAGAGTTTTGTTTATAAGGTCAGTACTGTACTAATGATTCTTGTTTCACAGGCCTCTCACTGAACCAAGACTTCAAGACTTTCCGCTAACTAGTTTCTAGTGACATTGTTGCAGATTTAATGAGTGTTGGGGTTTCAGCATACTGAATGTCTTAGTAAAACTTCAAATTCAGCCTCACATTTTGGTTCTGTTCATGTCAAGAGAGCTGAAGAAAGTTTTAATGCACAACTCCTGACTCCCATTAGGGTTGAATTAATTGGAGCTGCTTGTTTTTCTGTACTCTGCTGTGTCGTACATGAATTTCTTTGTACTCTAAACCTCAAAGTCAATGCAACAAGGTTTTAAATAGAATGTGACTTAGATCCTAGAAAGATAAATAGTGATGGATCAATACAATCATTATGATAATAAGTAAATGTACAGTATTTCTTTTATGTATGCAGCATTGTTTGAACAATAATCTATTTAGACGTGTGTTTGAGAAGTGGAGCACGTTAATCCAATTAAACAAATAATCTTTTCTTACTGATTTCAGGAAGCTATGAAAACAAATGTTTTCGGTTCACATTTCAACTTTTCTAATATCCCTCAAATAATCCAAGAAGACACTGTTCTCAATTTCTCTCGAGGATAAACGTCAAGTTTTTTTATTGTCGTGGCACATTTCTGCCTTTCAGTGCCCTGGGTGCGGGGCTTCAGTATTATCTGTTTTATCATTTGTACTCCATGGGTGCTGTTGTTCACCACTGTTTTGTTCAGGAGTCTTGAGTGGGTGATGATGTGCAAGAGGTGACATAAATGGGTCAAAAGGGTTTTAGCATTAACTAAACAAATCCCAGCCTATAGGATTAGACGGCACTGTTGCTGTTTATTTGATGTATTCCCTGTTACTATATAATGATACACAAAGGAGACAATAGTTGTGAGTTATTAGAAAGACTTCCTCCACTTATTCATGATGTTGTTGAAACTAAGTCCTTTAGCTCGGTGTGGAATTATCAACAGTGGAATGTGCCAGAACAATATCTTATTGTACGCTTGTCTCAGCAGTTGGAAAATCATGTTTTGTTTGCTTGTTATATTGCCACAGTACATTGAACAACTATAACCAATCATGAATAACTGTACTCACACTTGTGCTACCACTGGTATTAGCATACAGTACGTTACCCAAATCCAAACTCTGTTTTGGTCATTTTTGAGGTGTGGAATGGCAACAGAGCGTTCTGTAATTATTGATTTGTTTGGGTATCTAGGCAAACTGTTAGTTTCAAGCAGCAAACTCCTGTGTGAAACAATTAAGCCAATGCGGAAGTGCAAAAACTGCAGTTACACCAACGTCCACTTGAGGCTGGCTGCAAAATCTGCATAAATCAATAACACACCTATTCAAAAGGCCATTTTTACTGCAGAAATACCTTTACAGTCTGGTTCAAAAAGGGACTCTATAGTCTGAGTAGCTTATTCCCTGATCCGCACACACTTTACCTTTTCTTATAACTTATCCATTGTGATTTTATGAAGAAAAAGAGTTGTTCATAACAAGGCATGGCTGAGCGCGCGTTACAGCTGTTTGTCAGGAGACTTCAGGCCTGCCTCAGCTCCAGCTCTTTACCTTTAAGGTTGACTTAAAGTTAGTTTCAGACGACATTTCCAATATGGTGACAGCCATTGATGGCCTGCAGAAGTCCGCTTAAGAAACAAAGGGGTGATGTCACTGAGACTATATCCATGTTTTTATGCAGACTATGGTTAGCTTTGGTTTACTTAGCTTTGAAAACAGATCAGTTGGAAACAGTTGGCTCAGTAGAAAAAGGTAATTAAAAAAAAGGAAAAAGAATCTCTACAGTCTATAAAGCTACAGTTGTGACACCCATAGACTGTAAATAATTGTACTTCACCCATATGTTACTGAAGGGGGCTCTGGGAGCCCATTGGTGGTGGTCTGTGTTGGAAATGCTGTCTCAACTGACCTTTCAGTCAACCTAATGGCACGCAAAGCGCTGAGCTGAGGCTGGTCTTAAGCCTCTTGACAAACAGCTACACCCTCCCGCCCATCAGTCAGGTCAGCCAAGTGCTTAATTATGAACAACTCTTATCCTTCATCAAATCAATAAGGATGAGTCACTCCCCCCACCCCCATACAGTGTGTCCCCATAAAGACATGCGCTATCAAGACCCATTCCATTGTTGGTACCAGGCTGTATATGTTCATTTCTGCTATCATAATAAATATTTTAATTTGAGGTGTGTATGTGACTTCCGGGTCTTATAGAGCCAACCTCAAATGTACACTCGAGGAACTGCAAGTTTTTTTGCACCTCCACATTGGCTTCATTTTTCAACACCCGAAGTTGCTGCTTGGTGTCATCTGGCACTACTGAATTTTTTTCTTTATTATTATTATTATTATTATTATTATTATTATTATTATTATTATTTAATGGTGGTTAGCAAACACTACTGACACTGTCTGGTAGAAGTAATGCATTACAACCAGGCGGCAGCAAAAATAATTGAAAAATTACATTTTTAAGATGAGATAAAAGCTATATAAAAGCTTAGATTTTCTATAAATGAATGACTACTGTATTTCAGTATTTGAACATCATTGTCCATCCCTATAGCCCGCATATTGATACCAAGCTGTGACCTCTGTTGTTGAAAAAATAAAAAATAAGCCAATGTATATTTGCTAAATTGACATGAGGTTTGAAGTTGTTAAACAGAAAAGACAGAATGTCTAACAATAAAAAATATACAGTATATTTTAAGTTGATTGTGTACATCAGACCAAATTCCATATTGACCTCTTTTCAATTTAACATTCTGTCATTTAGATCATTCTGTAATTGTTTCACTTAATTCTTCAACTAAATGAATTGTCTTTGAGAAGAATCAGTCAATTAGATGCTGAGCTTTAGAAGAAAAATATATCCTTTTACTTATCCTGGGAGGGCAAATTCAATGTATCAAGTCCAGTGTTAAAAAAACAAACTGTGAAAGCATCTCTCAGAACTATGATAATCCAACAAACACATCGACCACGGTCCTTTAATTCTCCCGTCTGTCTGTCAGAGTGCAATAAGCTGTCCTCCCTACACTGCATCCAGACATTCTTTATTTGTTCTGCAAATGTGATGGATTGGATACGGAGCCAACACAGAGCAGACATTGTGTGGTGTCAGTGTGATATTAAGAGACATTCACACACACATCACTTGATTCTCAGGTCTCCACGGCGTCCTCCTTTGTATCTTATCTTATCCAAGGGTTACACAACTTCTATTAAGCTGGAACTAAAGACACAGTCCCATGTGAAGATTTCACCCAGTGATTGGCTTATCTTACTCACAAGTACACGATCAGAAGACAACAACATCTTGCAACTCTCCAGAGAGCATCACTCCCGTGAAAAAGAATCTAAAATGTTAGTTTGGCTTCTTCAAGCAGCTGACAATGTTTATCAAATCTTTCACACGCTGATCTATTGTCTTTGCATTTGACTGATTTAACAATGGTGATGTAAATAGGAGATAACCTATTTCATTCAGCTGTATATATTTGACTGTAACAAAAAGTAGATAGTTTGCATGAGCAGCGATAACCAAAATGGATTTACAGACGGTTCAAATATGAAAGATGCTTTGCTCTGACCTCATTTAACTATTATAAAACCAACTGAAATACTAAAAACTGAAACTTTCCTAATTAGTTTCTTACTCATTGCAGAGTGCTAACTTTAAAGCTTGGAAAACGCACAATGTCTGACAAGGAAGACATGGCTACAGATGGAAATCTGAATGTTACACTGACACTGAGGCTGCTGATGCATGGAAAGGTAATGCACATAAATAATAAACCCTAAAGCATGTTATGTCCTTTTGTAGAAGTCGCCAAATAGGATGGTAATAGAACGTCCTTGATGTCCAAATCAGAAAAGCTGTTTGGAGAAAATGGTGTGTGCTGACACTTGCCTAAACATTGTTATCTATCTATTCGCAGGAAGTAGGCAGCATAATTGGAAAGGTAAATTTGATCATTAGCATTTATTGATTCATCTTTTTTTCCCTTCATAAAACTAACCACTCCTTCTGTTTTATTTCCCTTGGATGATTCAAGAAAGGAGAAACAGTAAAGAAAATGAGGGAGGAGGTGAGCATTGACTCCCATAATGTGGAAACTGGTATAATTTATGTGTTCAGGCAGATCAATTACAACAAATTGTGGTAGGAATAATTGTGGATTTGTATTTCCAGAGTGGTGCGCGAATCAACATATCGGAGGGATCATCACCGGAGAGAATAGTTACCATCACAGGGCCAACAGAAGGCATTTTCAGAGCGTTCTCCATGATCGCACAGAAGTTTGAGGAGGTACAGCAAAATGTGCCAAAACTCCACTTTAACCTTTCAAATACTGTCTATACAATTTAAATGTTTTTGTATGAGTCAAATACAGACCCTTTAAAAATGTTGTCTATAGTCTGAAGGACACTGCATGCCCTTTTTCCTCTGTCTTTTGTAAAAAATGGAACTTGTCAAATAAGGTTGACATTCTTACAGTTGTGAAAAACATATTTTTGAATTGTCCCTCAGGATATTACTGCAGCAATGACGAACAGCAGCGTGACAAGCAAGCCACCTGTGACACTTCGCCTGGTTTTCCCAGGGAGCCAGTGTGGCTCACTGATTGGCAAAGGAGGCTCAAAGATCAAAGAAATCAGAGAGGTATAATTCCTGTTCTTTTTTTTTTTGTTTTCCGTTAGAAACTTGTCTTTTTGCGTCCAAATGGGGACAGAGAACATCGATGTTGTCCTTGTTGCCCTGATACCAAAAGTATCCAACACTCCAGTCAAAGTTTTCATGTTTATCTCTCCCTTAAAATTTGTGTATTTTTGTGTTTGCTGCTCATGAAAATCTCACTGATTATGCCTGTAAAGATCGGTAGAGGCTGACTGCTCCTTCTGAATGGACAATATTTGTGTACTCCTCTGCAAATATTGGAGAGCACATTGCTATTTGGCTTGCAGCTGCTCCCTGCATGTCGAATGTGTTTAGGGTAATTTGTGGGTGCTTGAAACAGCATTTCAATTTGGGTGATGGAGTCCTCTTTTCAGTAATAAATAGCCTTTGTTTCTTCTGTTGTCTGGTGATATTAAGACCACAGGCGCTCAGGTTCAGGTGGCAGGAGACATGCTGCCGGACTCCACAGAGAGGGCTGTCACAATCTCCGGCACTCCACAAGCCATTACTCAGTGTGTAAGACACATCTGCTCTGTCATGCTGGAGGTAAGCACTGTCACACAACAGATGATTCTCACATTCAACAACTCTATTTTGGTATCAAGTCAAATTTGTTTAGGATGGGGTAGAAGGTATTTTGGAGCACATTAAGTCAGCATATTTCAGTCACAGCAACATTTTACTCCTGCAAGATTAAAGCTTTGTGCTCCTGATTGTGAGATGTGCCGCATTAACATCACTATTAATAATGTACATGCAGTGATTTCTGTATCCTGTTCATTTTTCTAACTGTGTAAACCATTAGTTGCCAATATTGGATGAAATTGTCAATATTGAAAATGTTTTCTCTACATAAATATTTCAACATTTCTTAGTTGAATAGTAATTTATTTTGTGTCTTGAGCTAGTTGAGTAAATTAGTTGGGCTCTTTTTGCATTCTTTGTAGCTCTTAAAGTACCCTTGAGAGGAAAATATTGAATAACATTTTGTATTATTTATCGTATTATCACTTTTTTGAATCTAATTGCTTTTTAACCTTAAATTAAAACGGGGTAAAAATGATTCTTGTTACTCAGAGGAAAGAGGTGAGATAAAGTTAAGCATTTACTCACCCTTTTTCTATCAGAAAAAACCTCTACAACCTATTTCCTTTATTCTTTATTCTTTTTTGGCTCTCTTCATAATAGGTTTTTGGTCCAAGATTTCATGCAACCTTCTCAACCAAAGAATGTGGTATAAAGAGATTCAGCCGGGGAATTAAAAAAGGTTGATAAATTACAGCAGAGCCACTTCTTTTCTCAGATGTAACAGTGTATGAATTTTTATCCCTTATTGGTTTGCATGACTGTGTCTCTAGTCTCCACCAAAAGGAGCAACAATTCCCTACCGTCCCAAGGCTATGCCTATACCTGGAGCCCATGCAGTTTTGGCTCCACAACACTCAGCACAAGTAAGTGGCCAAAAACGAGTTACTTAGCTGTGATTGCTACCACTTTTCAAAAACATTATAATTGAAGGGGCTTTGTATTTTATGGGATCTCAGAGTCACACCGATCATTAGGCATATTTTTACCACGAGAGGGACACATCTTTGTTACACAGCAATAAACTCTTCATACTGTAATAGTGCTCTGTAAGAGGAGGCAATGATCATATAAAAAATTGCCTGAGTTGAATTCAGCCGAGCTGTAATGTGACAGTTATATGAAAGACCCCATTTACATTAATAATTCCCCCAGCGGTGTGAAACCTGAAAGATGTCGTGACTAAAGCTCATATTTTCCATGAGCTGGCTAATCGCTGTCCTGAATTTGGCGCAGTCTGTTCTGACCTATCAGACATCTGTCTATGTTATTGGATTTCTGGCCATGGTCAAAAGGGGAGAAAACAGCAGATGACATTTAGATGAAATTCCATCAAATCTATACACATTAGAGAGCCATGGAAATGAGAAGGGAATGGATTTTCAGACATGGACTAGCTGCACTGAGTTTACTCTTCAAACTTTCTAACGTGACATATTTGAACACGTGTGCATTTACCTCATAACCCTATCTCCTCTGTTATTTCTCATAGGCCTTTGCACTACCAGGGCAGTATGCGTTTGCACATCAGGATGTAAGTATACTCGTTTAGTATTAGTACCCTAATGACCTGCTCCTGCCCACTCCTTCCAAGCCACCACTTCACGCTATATGTACCCTACTCTGAAAAGATGAAACTTTAATTACCCAGATCTGTTGACATTACTAACACTAACATGAGATAGCACAATGCTTTGATTAAAATGATTGAAACCATTTATGATCAGTTTTAGCTTTGTAGCAAGACATATGACTGTATTTCTAGATGGCTGCCATGAGAAGCCAGCATGCTTTCTGAAGGAAATGAATCTCTGCACACTGACACCATCTGTGATGTTTGTGAACTTCACATTGGCTCTGTATTGTAGTTGTCAGCTCCTCTGAAATAATCCAGTTTGATTGGTTAGCTCTAACTTCCTTCCTACCCTGCAGTTGACCAAGCTTCACCAGTTGGCTATGCAGCATATCCCCCTCCCTTCCCTTGGGCAGAGCAACCCTACCTTCCCTGGTACGTACCCACGGCTCCCCGGGGAAGTCCATCTATTCCCCTGTCTTCACTCCTCTTCAAATCACATCTTCAAAACAACACTTTCACATCAGACTTCAGAGAGGATCAAGGATGTCTCCATTTTTCCAGAGTTTAAATACTCTCACTCAGGTTTCTTGTATAAGGAGGCTTTTATAACATGTACTTGTTACAAAAATGACATGTTCGGCTTTGCATGTGTTTGCATGTTTTTGTAGCAGAAATCTATTTTAAAAATGCTGAATAGAACAGGTTTAGCCACCAGACTAGTTTACTTTAAAAACGTAAGGTTACTCAATGAATTATTTATATTCCATATCACAGATTGAAGCAGACAGAATGAAACACACAATTAAAAAACAGCAGAGTTCCCTGGAAGAGAAATGTGAAAAATAAGACAAATATTTACAGTTTAGTAAATATTTGACCATTTCTCACTATTTCTCATTTCCTCAAAAATGTTCAGCTCCATTTGCCCAATTTCCCTCTCTTAAAGCAAAACCTAATCTCTTCACCCATCCTCCACCTCTGCAACATTTCTCCTCCAATTCTAACATCGTCTTGGCCAGACCATCCCTGACCTCAACAACCCCAAGTACTCATATACTCTGCCACAACTAACTGAAGACAAAACATTACATGTTATTTTCAAAGGAAGGGCTGGTGTGTTAAAACATGTTCATTTGAATGATAGTTCATTTTTATTATTTCAACATTAAATAGGTTACTAGAATATGTGTTTGAAATGGATATAGAGTATGTGTGTCTATCAAGAAAGATTGTAATGCTATTTTCATGTTTCTAATTTAGCAGTGAATCAGTGATAAGCTAAAGTAGAGCAACATGTCATGCCATGAATGTGGAAGCCATTAGTGCCATACTGTTGTTAGCATTCCTTGTCCTACTTTGCAGGATTGGATGCATCTGCCCCCACAAGTTCACAAGAGCTGGCAATACCCAATGATGTAAGTGCCACATTGTTTGTATGTTTTTTACAGTGCTAAAACTGGCACCCACAATCCTCCTGCTTTTTCTTCAACACTTTCTAGGATGCCAGTTATAATGAGGAATTTCTGGACATACGTTTTACTATTTCACTTTCTCAGCTGCAGAATGTAATATATATTCTGTCAACTTTGGTGATGAAAAATGATTGCATGTATACACAGCAATCATCATTATGATGGTAGGATTGGCTGGTTGTTTCTTCAATATTATATATTTTTTAAAATCACTGAAACAACAATAGGAGATTATTTTCAAAGCTTCTGTTGCACTCAATTAGCTATGCTTCCATCAGGAATCCTAAATCATTTCAGAGTAAGAGATAACTGGAAACCAGATAGCTTGGAGTGTTTTCTATATTTTTATAGCGCTACAAGTAATCTACAATATAATCGTTGCTACTAATCTAGTTCAAGGTTTTCTTGCAGAGCATCAGATGAGAAGATCAATATCACTCGTGTCTGGATGCTTATGATTGCTGCAGTGATATCCTGAGGGACAATTCAACAGCAGCTTTTAGCTTAACATAAAGACTGGAAATGAGGGAAACAGATAGTCAAAGCTGTCACTAATTAACATGTTATATCTGCAGTTTATTTAATCAGTACAAAAGATGACAGGTGGTGGTTTTAAGTGGGGATTATGTGCCTGTCTATTCATCTGGCAGGAGCAGTGACTTCCTGGAGTCTTGCCGTGCAACCAGATACGTTAAATAGCTGTACTCTCTGGTTTTCATGCCGATTAAGCAAGCAATGTATGCGTGTCCAAGTTATTTGTTTAACTCTGTTTTGTATACTTGTGCTAAGCTAACTAACTGCTGTTGTTAGCATACTTTTTTTTACCATACAGACAAATCTAATTCTTGGCCATGAATTCAACACTGTAAATGTAGTACTCCAAATGTCAAAATGTTGCTTTAAGATAAGAGGGCAGCGATGACCGCACTTTGATTACATGTATCATCAACAGACGTTTCATGCAATCTTAGAATTAAAGTATCTGCTGTAAGCAAAGAGGAACAGTGCCTTTAAGGATTCTTTCTGTCACTACACAACTGGGAGTGTGGATGTCCTCTGTAAACGGCTTCCTAGAGACTGTAATGCTGCTATTACTGTAGTTATTTACAAACAAATTCCTTAAAAGCTATAGAACGTGGGCTCATTTCCTATTTACATGTCTCGCTCCCCTTCCAGTTTATTGGCTGTATAATTGGGAGACAAGGCAGCAAGATCAATGAGATTCGCCAGGTCTCTGGAGCTCACATCAAAATTGCCAGCGCAACTGATGGATCAGCCGTGCGCCAAGTCACGATCACAGGCTCGCCAGCCAGCATCAGTGTGGCCCAGTACCTCATCAATGCCAGGTAAGACATTACACAGGGCGGTCAAGTCTAGTAGGGTTTCACAACTCAGCCTGATGATAACACAGCCAAACACATGCTATTATATGAGGGCAAAACTTAATGTGCTCTAGATGAGGCTGCTCCATTCTCTTGACTGCAATCCTTATTATCTCTGCTTTTTTAACACATTCCTTCGTTGATTCTTATGTTTTCTCCTCTCTCTCATCCCCCTGCTCCTTTGTCTCACCTGTTCTCCCCCCTTTTATTTTTCACCTTTTCCTTTTAACTTTTCAATATCTAATCATCCTGACCTGCAGCTTAGAGATGGCTAAATACACCATGCAGGCCGCTTCCTCTGCGACCCCAGTTGACTTCAACATGAGCTTCGCTCAGTCTCCCACTGCCTCCACTGCTGCTACCTCTATGGCTGTCTTGGCAGCCACATCCCAAGCCCCCACCACCATTAACGTCCACACTCCCTCCACCTTATCAGCCATCCAAAACCCACACTACGCCGTCCCTGTTTCCAGTCTGCTTGGCATGAAAACTCTCCCTGTCCTGGCTGTCCACCCAGCAGCTGCTTCCAGCCTAACACAGGGTTTATCCCCTTACGCTGCAAAAATGCAAACCTCTGGCATCAAAAAATCTGAGAGACAGAAGTTTGCTCCTTATTAATGACAGTGTAGCTGACAGGTAAAACATTATTAAATGATGAGAGAATACTTAAAACTTGGCCATGAACTGGCTAAAAAGTAGCTCATACTAGTGTGTGTAAGTTTTGCCAGTGTGGCACTTCTTACTGATAAACCAGGAGAATATTAGAAATATGTCCTCAATTATTAAAACAGGTACCAGATGTGCATATATGCTCAGTATTATCTTAAGGGTGTGCATAACATTTAATAATGCTAACTCAGACTTGTATGACTATCATAGAAAAAGATATTTTTTCAAATGGACTCATTTCAGAGCTTTATAAGACTTAAACCAGGAGAGGTATTTTCCATGATGCAATTGTTGACTTAGTTGTCTATCTGTATAAATAGTTTTTGTTAGTTAAAGCAAACGAGTATCATTAGATGTGGTGCTCTGTTGGCAGCAGGCTGTTAAATTGTTTGTCTTGTACAATAGAAGTCAGTGTGTTAAAATAAAAGATTGCTCTACTCTCTTGTCATCTTAACCTTTCCATCACCATAGGCTCTCATCAACGCTAACAGGCTTGGGTGTTCTGTAGTAGCGTTGCACTGTAGCAGTTCTGATGGGATTATCCTAAACCCACATTGGATTCTTGTGGATTTCTCTCTACACAGTATTTCCGTAAGGCAGGAAAGGCCTTACAAACTCATTTATTGTTTCTGTACGCCACCTTGTTTATTCTCCAACCTAAGAGAGTGGAAGGCTTTGAAATTCAGTGGCTGAAATGGACGCTGAGCAATTATTGTAATAAATGTTTTATTCATGTTTTTGGTGGGGATCTACTCCCAAACAATGCAGAATTGTAATATTTGTTGATGAAATGACTTAATAAATGGGACTTTTTATGAATAATGATTGATTCTTTTATTCTGTGAGTGTAGAAAATCTTTTAACATCAATGGTGATGTCACCGACCCAGAAAAAAAAAGAACTTCCCTGACTGCACTGTTTACTCTCCACTGGCTTTGAGCTTTAATTGTAGATAAATCAGGACAACACATTTCCACTCTGCTGGAATTACAGTTTATTCCTCAGGAGGGAATTAAGCTATTTTGTTCAGAATGTCATGTCTTTGAGAATAAATCTCTGTGGACCCCGACAATGTTTTATGAAAGAAAAGTAGAACATGAAGTAGTAGGACCTTGTATACATGCAGTGAATAAGGAATTGCAGCACCTGTAACTCCTTATAAGTAATGACGTATTTCTGACTTTGTATTGATGCAAATCTGGACATACAGAAAAATCTAACTTTTCTAAAACTGGCATGGTTAAGCTTTTATTTCTCCAGTGTTTGTGTTCTTTAAAAGAGGAAGGAACGATCCCCAGAATGGTTTCACTTATAACACACATTTGTCCTATTTTTTAGGATCTGATATTTTTCTTTTGAGAGGATACTGTATGTCCATGTAAAACATTCAATATCAGTAACATTTAAAAATGTCGACCTAAAGAGAGAATTACAGTTTGCAACACAGAGGTGTTCAGAGATCTTGGCAAGTGTACAAAAACAACTGTGCAAAAATAGTCCATGGTATTAGGATGTAGTGTGTGTGGCAGAGGGCACAAAGCTACAAAACAAACTTTTCTACCTGCACCCTGCACAAGTAAACTTGGTGTAACCCCATTGTAAATATTCAACAAAAACTGTGGCAAAATTCTCATGGGTCCGGAAAAAGAACAACTTAACCTTCAGTTGTCATCTCAAGCATACTGCTAATGGGCAGGTAGGTTATAGTGTAGTCAGTTCATGCTGCTTTGTGTCCCAGCCTGAACTACCGCTTTAGTGTAACACCAGGAGGTGGGCACTTCTGTTCTGCCTGTTCGTGGAGTATGGGAAGCAAGCCATACAGGCCATTTCCACAGCAGGGCCTGAAATGCTGAAGTGGAGATAATCAATAGTTAATGGGGGCAGAAATGTAATGACAGTGAAGGATGACATTTGAACCTCGGGGAAGGTGTAGCAAAAGAGAACAGTGCTGCATGTTTTCTGGTGTGTGCCCAGGGCAGTTATGGGTTCACTGCTAGCCACTAATGCTAAATTAATGATTGCCTTTTTCAGCCTCACAAAAGCAGGAGCTGCTCCCATCATATAGTTCCATCATATATTTGAAAATGCAATTTAGAGGTACAGAAGTAAATAATTAAGATGCATATTTGATTAAGTCCATAGCAAATTAGAGAGCAATGCTGTTTTTGGGCTATTTATGCCTTTATTAGATATTACAGCTGAAGAGAGACAGGAAATGTTGGGAGGAGAGAGTGGAGGATGAGGACCACAGCCTCTGTACATGAGGCACGTGGTATAACCACTTTGGTCACCTGTGCCCCTACAAAACACTTTCTATAAAATGTATCTTAAACACCTTATGTTTTTCTGTCTTCCTGCAGAAGTTTAGATTTGTTTATTTGGCTGGTTTATTGATTTTTATATGGCTTATAGTTTCGGCAATCTCTGTTGGTATTTCTAGGATCTTCTGAGAATCACTTAGTTTTGTTCTCAACTGTTTATTTGGCTCTGCTGCTTTTTGGCAAATCTGAGGGTTTTAGCAGTTGACATTCTACCATGCAGTTAATAAAAGTAACAATATCACATGGGAAACGCAATCATAATCATAACCCAATCCTGCATTTCAAGTGCAACTCCAGTAAAAAACCAAAGTTACATTTGGGTCAAAAGTACCCACCAGAGAAATTAAGCCAAGCTTAACTCTGTCAGTATTACATTTTGGGTTATTCTATAGATACATTAACATAATGCTGACTGAGATAGATCTCATTTATGGAGCTCATTTAACTGTTAACATAATATGATTGGTGGATTTAATTAATTGTCACATTGCATCATAATTCATGTCCTCAATTATTATCCACTTAATCTCAACAACTTTGGATGGATAAGCATGAGTTTTAATGATTGATTTTAAAATCATAAAACATTGAAACTGTTTAGGATGAATCCCCATCAGCACATTCTCATATGCAGTGAAGCATGAAGTGCAATGATTTGCAGGCTGAAGTTGAACATTTCAAAAGAGAACTTGGCCACAGGCATGCTCAAAGTTTAGATCAACAGCTGTGCATCTCTCTGCAAGAGCAAGACGTTTGCTAGTTATTAAGGCTGAATTGTTGAGTGAGACACTTGATGGACAACTTAATTGTCAACTTGCAATAAAGGAAGTTATAGAATCAATATTCTTCTCATACCTTGATTAACTCCCAGAAATCATGGCCCTTCACAACAAGTCCTAAATGATGTCTGTCTCTTCACTGCTTAATGAGAGACAGTGTGGAAGAAAGGCATGCAAGGTTTCCATGTAGGCTGCTGACAGACTTTTAAGTAACATAAGAAACATTTGTACAGAAACTGGTTACACACCAACAACAGGCTACATATTATGAAACTAGGTCTTAATGGCTCAATTCAGTGCTTTGCAATAGATTGGAAACCAGTGGCATTTAAGCCAGGTTATTTTAAAGATCCTTTTATTGATTTTTTTTAAACAGTCATATAAGGCTTGAATGTATCACTTTGTTTTGCCTTATATCAGAACCAGGACTAAACTGTGATCAACCTTTTTTCACTAAAAGGGATCCTAAGAGTATTGTAAATTTGGCTGTCTTTATATCATTTGATTTTTTTGTAGATTTATTGAGATAAAGTACCTGCATTGATAGCCTATTTTTACTTTGTACTTTCTCGTTATTCTTTTTTTAAAGAGTAATGGGCTATTTTAAATAGTGTGATTGGCGGAGTGATATCTTTCAAAATAGTAAAATGACGTATCGCAGCAACGGCCGACACAAACCAAAATAAGTGGCCTACCAGATGCATTAGAAGATGTCCTGTGCGCTTGCTATCCCCACCCTATTTTTAAGTTCAGTCTATTGTTAAGGACATGGAAACTCAGGACTTATAGCCTACTGAGAAACGTGACACCAATAAGCGTCACACTAGAACAGTGGGGCTCGTGCGTGGTTCATTTCCAGAAGCCTACTGTTACTGATAGTAGTAGGCCCTACTAAAGACCATTATTCGATTAAATCCAATCAAATGTCATTAAAATAAGGTTGGCTGGAAGTGCTTATGGGGTATTTCACTCAACCATTCAACTGTGATCAGAATGACCTCTCTATAAGAGATAATGAAGTTAAGTTATAAATCACATCAGTGTGTGAACTTCACAGGCACTAATTAACTGACTGTTGTTCCTCTATCAATTTAAACTGCTCCATCTAGTGGACGATCGGCTGAACGAAGCTTCAGGACGCGACTGCTTTCATCCCATTAATAAATTATTATTTTTTTTGTCACCGTGAGAAATAAAGTGCCAGTGTAGAGCAGGGACATCAGAAGCTCCGCGGCACTTGCAGCAGCGGCTCGGTGGAGACGGAGCGCTTTCACTCACTGTGGAGACAAGTTAAGAGCGACACGCTGCTGACCTGAGCATCCTCCGGGGAAACAGCGCAGTTGAATCGCTTAACGAGCGTCAGTTTTCATCGCTTCACCGCAGATCATTTGTTGCTGTCGTGGCTCCGCTGTTCAGCAGTCCGAAGGCTGTGCAACCCAGCGCGCTGACGGATACAGAGACCACGAGGATCACAGGTGAATTAGAACAATACTGCGTGTCTTGATGGTGTGTGTGGGATCCATATTTTTAGTCATGCATGTCAGAGTAATGTGCTGATCTGGTTTCACAACAACTAAGTAAGACTGGGAATGCATTGATCTATGTGTTTGTTTATTGAAATTAGATTGTGAGTAAAATTCATGAATATTGATCTTACGCATGCCTGCCAAATAATCAGCCTGCATCTATGACAAAAGCAGCCTATTAGAAAGGAGTAACTAATTAAGAGTGTAGTGACTGTTGCACCTGTAGACGCCACACAGGTATCAGCTGAGGGAGCTGTGTTGGTATTTGGATGCAAAGAGGACCGAGGCTGTTCTCAGAAGCATAGGGATTCAGTGGCTGCACAAAGACTCAGACTGTTTACACTCTCCAGAATGCAACATCCTACACAGGCTCCAGTAGGCAGCCAAACATACTGCACTGTACTATTCATTTATTAAACTCAGTGTCCTGTTGAGTAGGTGTTCGCTGCATAGTTGCTTTCAGTAGGCTAATTTATTTGGCAAATTTTCAGTTCACCAAATTTGGATTTCTTAACATTTTTAAATGAATGATAACACACCTCTGGTCGAGGCACACATGGCTGTTTGCTGTCATCAAGGTCTTTCAAGTCTTTTTTGAGAAACATGAACAGAGTCCAGCTGCTTTGTGCCCTCCTTCTTAGTGCATTTCCTTTTACAGCTTTCCTAACAGGCTTTGAGCAAATTCTCACCTTGTTCCACCGCACATAATATTAAGATTATATGACAGTTTTGCAAGGGCCGTTGGTTTTGCATTGCATGTTTAGGCAAACTTGCCTCTGATTTGGGTCACTCATAAGATTTACAGTCAGAGGATAAAATTCAATTAGGCAGCCCTGCAGCGGTCTTTACTCACTGGCAGATGGCTTAATACACTTGGATTCTTACTTAGTGTCCCTTATTGCTCTAATTGGATTTCATCATTTCACACTGTTTATCCGTTTAAAAATGAGTTTTTAAATGTGGCATCATTAATTCAATACTTTCTCAACCCTGTCAGATCCAAGCCCACTAGCCACCGCTGTCTGAACATCTCACGTCTCGTCCCCCATGATCTGCTTTGTCATAAATTGAAGTAGACCTCAAAGTAAATTATTGCATCCCCGTATGTGCTATCAATGGCATGTTGGGATGTTGGAATTGTGTAAGTAGGATAAATAAATAAATTAATAAATAAATTATGTGCACAAAGCAGTGAATTCCTGTCTGCGTTAATTCCTGCCCCGAGGAGATGTTTTTCCTTTGAATGACATCCGGGTGGATTCTACAGAGGGACATTGCAGGAGTTTTTTATTCTCCGAGACCGAGTACAACAGTAGCCTTAAACAGAAATGTAAAAAAGCATGGTGTTGTATCTCTTTCTTTGTTGCTATCATTTTCTGCCACCATGTAGTTTAGAGCAGTCAGATCAAATTTGCAGATATTCCTTTACTTACTTCTCCTAAGAACAAATGCTGATAACACACAACAATCAGACAGAAATCTCAGCTCTTGTGTGGAATCATTCCTGGAGATGAGAGCACTGCTATTGCATTATTGTTTGGGGATAGCAGCTATCAAACTGTTGGAAGAATCCTTCCTGACTGACATGAGAGAACAAAGCAAGAGGCAGGTCAACCACAGCACAACTTAACTGCTGCACTTTGTGTTATTGAATCTCTGCCAATTCAATCTATATGAATAACAGTATCTTATTAGTGGAGCCAGAGCAGAAATTTCACTCAGAGCTCAGGTTGTTGTGTCAAGCCTTATGGGCCGTATTCGCTCTGCTGGGTAATGAAAACGACAATAATTCATGAGTCATAAATCAATGTGATGGTGAGCATCATTGAACCGTGAACTAACAGCCAGGTTGAATTCCTGCTTGATTAATCATTGTGTCTGTACCTCAGTGGTCAAACCGGCTATGTTCAATAGCCTGAGATGTAAACAGAACTTTGGCCTTTGACAGAAGGATTTATATCTACATTGATGCTAATGACTGAACCCGCTCCTACTGGCAAACACTGAGGCTAATTCTCTATAGTGCAGGAAGCCACTGTAACGTTTAAATGTCAGGGGAAAGAGAAAAACATGACCAGTCCGCAAAAGTAATAGCAGAGGGCACAACAACATTTAAATTGCTATGTTTATACATAACAAAATGTTGTGGTTAGTTTAGCCATTTATGACAGGTAATTGTATTTCTTTCCGCTGCAGCATTTCAAGGGACAATGTGCTGATTAGCATAAAGGTATTTTTCTTTTGTGGGTCAGTCAGTGAATTTGACCTCAATTATGAAAAGACAAAAAACCTCAAATTATTTCACTTTTCTCATAGAAATAGTTTGCCAAGTAAGACTTAGACTGACAAGTGCCTATGTGGCCACAGACAGGAAGAGTGCCCATCATTATATCTAAAATGATATCATTGCCTGGCAAAGATCTAACGTTTGCTGCATTAAATAAATTGTGCAATTGCGTGTGTATGTGTGTGTGTGTGTGTGTGTGTGTGTGTGTGTGTGTGTGTGTGTGTTACATTGGCTTCAGTATAAATAGCTTTTTTACATTTTTTTTGTGATGTTATCATAATCCAATATGCAGGAGAGCAGTAGAGTGGTAGCTCCACCCTTTCCTAGAAACTGGGCTCATCCACTTAATGTGAGTGAGGATAAAAGAATAACCTGTGCATGAACAGATGTATGATTCTGTTTACCATACAAAGAACTTAAAGCTACAGGTAGGACTTTTGAAATGGGTCTGAACCAGACTGATATTGATATATGACCAACAGAAGCAAAGGAGACCATCTGCTATCAGAAGGACTATTTCTTTATTTTTAATGTGTGAAACCACAGAGGATAGTTGTCAGAGGAGATGATTAACAGCATGCTGAAGAAACAGACATTTTTCCAAAGCAAAAATTCCCAATGAGTGATACATCTGACTGTTAAAAGAGAGTTCAATGAGATTTTTTATTTGCCAGCAAAACACTAGTAATGTGTTGATTTTGTCCTATATTTCAGCACAAGACGTGCTGCTTTAAGCACAGGTGGCATCCAAACAGACTCAAAATGAAAGTTTATCATGAGGAGCTTTAACTGTATTTCTACATGGTGATATTCATTTGGTTCGAGGGTCACGTCAGTTCAAAAATAAGAATTTATACAAAAAGAATGGTGGATTTCTGATTTAGAAAAGAAAGCTGTCAAATAAAGTTACAGATGGAGCCCCAAAAGAAAACCTCTTGTATTTTACCATGTTGAACAGCAGGAGTCTCTGAGACCCCAAACTAAAAACAAGGTGTCATTATCTGTCAGTGACTTCAGGTTTGAGCTGACAGCTTCCACATCCCTGGTTTGAGTGCTGAGTGACTGCAGCTGACTGGCTCAGAGGAGAAGGAAGAGAAAATCAGTTCATTTAAAGTCTTTACCACTCCTCTACACACAATCATTACACTTTAGTAATATGCTCTGTATATCTAAGACCTATTTTACTCCAGCAGAGGATAGTTTGTTTGCTAGTTTTAACATAAATGTATGTAACTTGCCACAGCTTCTGATCAGTATGTAACTTATTAATTGAAAAACAATTAAAGAAACAACATTAGACCACTATCAGGTCTAACAGCCCAGCAAGGTGGTAGTCTTGGTTGATGGTAATTTCATGTTCAGGCCTGGGAGGCTTTTGGTTTTTCCTGCCAATTAATTTGATAAACTAACAGCATGTTGTTGCATTTCAAAGTACTGGTAAGTTTAAGAGAACTCTTTTTTGTTATCATTCTCATACATATTTCTATTTTAATTAAAACATTCCGTCTGGACGTAGATGCAGTTTTACACTAATTTCACTTTGTTATTCAGTTCTTGGAGCCACACAGAGTCCTGGCAACAGATGTCGAACAAGCAAACCACATGACCACTTAGTTCTGTGCAGTTAAAAAACAGTCTTCAAGCAAAAGCAGCTCATTTTCTGCATTAATAAGTGTTTGTTTTCTTAAGATCAAATTGTAGTTTAAATTGGAGAGTTGTTTTTCCACTAATAGAGCTGATTTTGTTTTTGCTCTGAAGTGGGCGTTCAAAGGTGTCAGTAGTGGAAATGAACTCAGTGATGTTGGTTTATATAACTCCTGGTAAACTGCTGTTTACATGTGTGGAGAGTTGATTAGTGTGAGTGCTGCATCACTCGGACTGGAACAGAGTTAAAAAAGGATTTGACGGCTGGTTATGATCCTTTAATGGACTTAAGAGAACAGCGATTTGAAGTTATCACAAATAATGTGACCATAACACTCAATCATACGTAGAGTTTGCCGGTAAAATAGTGCATAAACCAAGCTTCTTTACTTTGCTGCAGAGATGGAGAGAAACTCAATGTATTGTTTAAGGTTTTTGACAGTTTGTAGTTGTTGTTGTTTTCTTCTTTCCAGCTAGAATATATCTTTGCAAATATTGAAGCTAGAGCAGTGAAGCAAAACAAACAAACAGCAAAATACAAAAAAAAGTTAACAGTGTTCTCTGCATGGCTGTAGGGTACAGATAAATCAATGACCTTTCACTTAATGGCTTATATGCAACAATATAAATGTAAGAACTTTTTCCATCACTTGAACTAGAGGGGTACAGAGAAAAAATAAGAGTTTTAAACAGTGGATTACGTCAATATGACATATTAGTGTTTCAATCTACCCTTTATAGTGAAATTACATTTGACCTGTATTTTATTGTATGGCTGAGAATGAATGATTAGTGTATAAAAAATAGACCTGTTGTATTTAAAAATGGCATTAGGATTTAATGAATGAAGCAAAAAAAAAAATCAATTTGTAGTCAGAGAGAAGGTCGGAAACATTTAGTTTTTACTGGTTAAACAACAAAAACATTTAAGGAAACGGATGCTATAATTGTTTCTTGTCTCAGTGTTAACAAAATGTCAATAAGAGACCAAAAATAATAATACTTAAGACTGTGTCTCTGTACTTTCTGATTTGTCTATGCTCAGTTGCATTTTATCCTGAGTCCATTCATTCCTGCTGAAGACAATCACAGATGAAATCATTTCTATCTACAGGACTGCTCTACATTCGATTAGAACTGTTACGGAAATGTACAAAAATAACATCAGAAGAAATGGATTAATACACAGATGTTGCTCAACTGAACATTGACCTAAACAGAGATAGAAAAGTGTGTTATTGAATAAACAGAGCTAAGCCTATGTCTAGTTAGCACTGCCTTAATCCTGAGGTGTATTGTGTTTGGTGAAGGACTAAGGGAAGGCTCGAGTCTATGTACAGTATGTGCTTCCTGTGGTCAGTGCAGCAGTCTCACATCTATTGTCCCTCAAAGATCAAGCAAACAAATGAAGTTTCACATAGCTAAGGGTAATATAGCTCATGTGCTGATTGTGTTATTGTAGTATGCATGCTGAGCTGCTTTTCCTCCTATGAGGTAGTATTTCAATTAGTCAAAGCACTGACACGTTCACACAGTAGACGTTTTGATATGGCTGCTATATCAGGGCTTAGGACTGCAGACGGTGGCTTAACTAAACAAATAAATGTACATGTGCCTTTGTGTACTAAGAGAGGAAGTTTTCGAGCCTCTGTTATATGGCCTGGAGCAAGAGGAAGAACACACACTATGGAATTGGCCCGGATAAACCGTTCATGCTCACTGTAGTGAAGGACCGAACAGCGAGTACAACAGTGTGGCACATTTATGTGTTTTCAATAATTTTCTGAACAACAGTAGAGCACAATCAGCCAAAGGTACCATTGGTTACACTTTTAAACTACTTCTTGGTTGAGTTAAATTGTTGCTTGTTTTTGTGAGAGTTGTCAACAATGAGAGAAATATAGGTCTATGAGCAGCCTGTCCTTTTAATGTTTGGATGCTGTGGCTTTCCATTTGAAAAGCAGCCTGAGGGCCACCCAGTGCTCAGCTCTGATGAAGAGTACAGCAAGGCAGCAGCAGCAGCACTCCCAGCATTAACTGTGTGACAGTCAGTAACAGCTGTTAAGGTGGAGAGGTGAGGCTGAGAAGAACCAAATGAGGTCCTTTTACTAATGAGGCTTGGGCTCATCTCTCTCTCTCCCTCTCTTTCAGCTGCAGCAGCGTTATCGGTATGCACCTCGTTCCGCCTCCTCTGTGTTCCACAGCAGCTCCAAGGGTTCTGCCTCAAACATAGCAATTCAGCTAAAACGCAGCTCAAATACCAGTCGTGCAAGCAGTCAATTTTAGGCTTCCACCAAAGAATGGATCAGAATACATGAATATCAAGATGCATGACTTAAAACACATGGAGAGACTTTGGCTTCATTAAGTCAGATATAATAAATGTTACTGGTTGTCCCATGTTCTCCCTTCTTTTGTAGGCTATACACCAAAACAGACTTTTTGATTATTTGACACTTAGTGTCTCTTTAATGTTAAAAGCTCCTTGTTGTTCTGTCATGACCGTGTTTATTGAGGTTGACAAATCTATCAATATGGTGAACTGTTCTTGAAAACACTCAGATGGGACAAAGCTGGTCATTGTTGAGTGAGTCAATAATGAGTAACCTCTCTCTCTTTCAAAATAAGCCATGAATGTCACCATGTCTGAAGCTTGTTTAATGGAACTCAGCCATGATGCTGAAAGTTTGGTGTGGCAAAGTAGGCCATCGAAAGCAGGAAAACATCATAGTATGCATTTCAATTTCAAGATGCTGACAAAAACAAACACCTTGACTGCAGCTTTTCAAAAATGTGCAGTTTCTGCGATGTCGGCAGCTGATCCTAGGAGTTCACTCTATTTATGATGTTTAGTATTAACTCTTTACCAAAAAACTGACACAAATATTTTCATTGGGCTCTGTTTGGGCAGAGTTTGATATACAGCTTTATGCAAAAGCAGGAGCAGATCTGGCTTCATTTTGAAATTTATACTGCTACTTTTGTCAGCTATAGTAAATTCATCTCTCCTGACTGGAATTATGTTCTATTTTCAAATCAATTTTCCCCCTTGAACAGATGACTGTGATTCAGTTAAAAAAAAGCAGACATTGATCCCAGGTCTTTGTTCCATAAGAGGAGCAGGAGCTTAAGAGGGTTAGATTCAGGACTTTGCCCATTCTCTTCTTACTCTGTCACTGCTGGGGCCGATTGATGCAGGGAGGTGCTACAGTATGACGCAGTATCGATTTTCTTGCACGGCTCTTTTAAAACACTCTGTCTCCATGATCCAATGCACTGATCTTACAGGTTTGCGTCAGACTCTGCAGAATGGAAAAGGGCTCTTAAGTTGACCAAATTTCTTTCACTGTTCTACTGGCTGAATGAAATAAACCCCACATCTGGGATAAAACGTGACAACATACAGAGCACATAACCCCAGTTTAATTTTCTCTTTCCAGATGGACAGGCTCACACCTGAGATGTGAATTGTGTTATGTGAGCCAAGGTGTTTTCCCACCTCGCTGGTGGTGGGGAGAGATGCTGCACTACGTTGCCATGACAGCAGAAGTTTTCTTTGTTCTTGGATTCCTGATGAGCAGCACTCAGTGCAATCCTGTAGCGACCTTACCAGCCACCCGAGAACGTCTAGAAAGGGTGTTGACCCAAGCCAGGGAGGACCAACATCAGGATGAGCAGGCCCCTGAGGAGCTTCTGGGATTCAGCTCTCAACAGCTGCAGGAAGAAATGAATGGCTTGGGCACCAACAGGACCATCGGCAGCCGCACCAAGCCCAACCTTAATTCCCAGACGCGAAAATCTAAGGGCGCAAAGACTCAGGAACTATGGAGTGAATCTGACAGCCTGAACCAAATAGATGAGGGGCCCACCAGTGATGTCCCCCTGTCCCTGGACGCCATTGATGAGTACGCCTACCCAGATTACAGGGGGAAAGGATGCATGGATGAGAGCGGATTTGTGTTTGCCATCGGTGAGCAGTTTACTCCAGGCCCTTCCACATGCCCTTGCCTCTGCACGGACGAGGGCCCGATGTGCTCCAAGCCAGAATGCCCCAAGGTTCATCCTCGCTGCATTAAGGTGGACACTAGCCAATGCTGCCCGCAGTGCAAGGAGAAAAAGAACTACTGCGAGTTTCGGGGCAAGAGCTACACCTCTCTGGAAGAATTTAAGGTGAACCCATAAACTGCATTCACTCACTTTTAACATGCTCAGACAAAGAAGTGCTGAAGAAACACTCCTCGCTGTTTAATGGAGCTTATCACAAGCACTACATAGAAACTAGTTACCCTGCCTCACAGCATGCAGCCAAACAGGCAGGCAGATTTATAATGGCAAAGGTCAGCACTTGTCTTTTTTCTTACACAATGCATGAGTATAACTGGAGGCTGAATGTAGCAGTGCAGCTTCAGCAGAGTGTATCCATATTCAGTTTGTGTTTACACGCGACAGAGTTACAGTTGTAGTAATGTTATATATCTCTGCAGAATAGCTGCTGCATGCAGGTGTTTATGAGGGAAGAACACAGAGATGATATTTTTTTCTTTTGACACTTTGAAGCTTTGGCTCACTATTGCACCAAAATCCTGGTGTAACTTTTTTTCAAAGGACGCAACATTTATCAGCTCCTAATGCCTCCCTTTATGCTGGTGAATGTCTCAGCAGGAGGTTAAGGCTAATGTGGGATTTTCTTCCCTTAACTCAGAGTATTACTGGCAGCTCTATGTCAAGTCTTTGCTGAGGGAAATCTACAGACAGCTCTACTTCCACAAGCGGCATACGTCAGCCTTTGTGCTGTGTGGTGTGGAGTGGAGTGGGGTGCTTTGAAACTAAGCAACAGGCACTTTTTATGCTTGATTGCTAAGTTCTGGGGCATTGTACTAAGTGCTGCCTCGCTCCATTTTTCACAGTGGAGTGCCATGCGGAGGCGAAAGCCTTTGCAATTTACAGCAATACTGGTTAAATTAACCTTTGCACTCCTGTTAAGACTAAAGGTATATGGCTTTATATAAACTGATGCTAAAAAGAAGCCTTTCACTATGAATATTGGACCTTAATGTTATTCAAGCTATTTACTATGAGCCTCTGCAATTATTATTATTTCTGCGCGTTATAATTCAGGACATGCAGGAATGCTTTGGTATCCAAGTCTTTCTAATGCTTCTGTTCTCACACCACAAAGAAATGTGAAGAATTTTTTTGTTTCCCATTCATGTTGATTTCTCCATATCCTTTGATTGGACTGTGAAGTGCAATTGTCTACTCTGCTCACCATAAAATGAGGCATTCATTAGCAATGAAGTTAAGATGAAGAACATTGCTATAGATTCAGTTTTGTGACACTGAATTCACTCTCTCTTAAACAAGCCAGAAAGGCAGGAGTATTTCTGTGTGTATACATCTATGTGGCTGTGCAATAAAAAGACAGTGACAAAAATAGAAACAGACATTGAGACAAAGAAAAATAAGATAATTACAGGAGAAGACTGAGTCGCTCATATATATGTGAACCTGTGACTGTTAAAACTTCTTTACTGTTTCCCAGGTATCTCCATGTGAGAAGTGTCGCTGTGAGCCAAGCGGAGAGGTGTTGTGCTCCGTATCAGCCTGTCCTCAGACAGAGTGTGTGGATCCAGAGTACGAGCCGGATCAGTGCTGTCCCATCTGCAAGACTGGTGAGCTGAACAGCACTTTATTCCCCAACATTGATCTCTTGGTAGGGGGCTGCTGGCTAGCTCTAGAAGAGCAGACAAGAGTCAAATCTTTTTTTTGCCAAAGGGCACCACAACAGGAGTTATAAGGCCAAGGTGGCATAGAGCACAGCACACAGCATGGTGCACCGCAGAGTTAAAGTCTCTCACCATATCAGATAGCATATGTGATGAGATCTATTTTAACTAAAACGTGACTTATGAGTCAGGGTTGGTTTTCATTTAAAACACATCCCAGATTATCATTGCGGTCTTAAACTCATATAACATCTCAGTTTATCCAGTGGAAGCACTTTTCTATGTTCACATTTTTTTGTTTCTGTCTGGTACAAAAATGTGAGATCCACTCGCATTTTTTTTGATTCTGTGGTATGAAAGCATTGGCCCGTCTGAGAAGAAGGAATACTGCGGCTCAGAGTCGATTATCTGAAGTTGTTTTGGATGATTCCAGACAGCATGTCCTAGATTATGTACCCTTGTTTTCTTGGTGTGACTCTAATGCAACATGGCAATGTCAGCAACATTGCTTCCTTCAGCAAAAAGAATGATGACTTGCGATATGTATCTTTGACTTAGAATCTTGAAGTAGTGCAGCCTGTCTAGTATAAACAATCGCAAGCAATGTGCATTATGAAAAAATCCCCTGTGATGGAAAAACACACACAGTGCATGACAAATACAAATGAGTAGACACCAGGACTGTTATTATCATTATGGAGTTGAAGTGCAAGCAAATATTTTGTCTTTATTTTGTCTTGTTGGCACAGAGCGTTTACACTTTAAATGGTGAACTAAAGAGGGGAAAAAAATAACAGAAGTGAAATCACTAAAACATGTGTTTTAGATTTTCCTCAAAGGAAACTTGAAAACAATATGGCAAGAGAATAATTTAACTAGATTTAAAAAAAATATATTTAGAGCACGACTACCATCTCCTTTATTCATTTTAATTACACCATGTATCATTTCAAACTCATTAAACCCTATAGACAATAATTTGCATGTAATGAATGTTCATGACTAGTTATCAGTCAGAGGTTGTCCCACTCATACTAAAAGCCCGTCTCCTAACCTCCTGAGATAAGGAGTTGAAAACATTGGTAGTCATGGAGCATTACTCAATCTATTAATATTTGTTTACTTAATCTTTGGGAATACATGTTGGTCTTTTGTTCCCCTTTTTCTGCTGTTCACCTACTTTTTGTATATGCATATATTGATCATGCTGAGATGGCTTGTGCAGAGTATGGGCAGTGCGCCATGTTTTCTCCTGTGAAATGCCCAGCTGATTGGATGGGTTGTGTTCACGGGCACATCAGTCTAGAAGACAGCTGTATACAGTACAGCATGTAGAGATGCTGCAAACTGAAGGGAGCATGAATCTATATTCCAAAGTCCCACTAAATCCATGCGCTCATCCAGCCGATAAGAATTTTCAGTTTTGAGATGGCATCAGTCCGATTACCATAAGATTATCACATATTACCATTCAATAAACAGAGTTCACTATGTCTGACACAAACTTACAAAACACAATTTACCCGCGCACAGTCTGAATTAAAATATGTTTTATTACAGTTCACTGGGATTCTACATTTGATGTTAAAGAGGCACTAGACAGATTCTACACATTGAGTCAAGTTTAGTCATCATGAGCAGTATGACTCAGCCTGTGAAACGGTTGTATAATGTGTTCTTTGAAAGAGCCTGCACTGTACTGTATACTGGCTGTATTTACATATATGAGCTTTTACCAGGACTGCAATAACAGGATTTGATGTACCTGCTCAGTGAGACCATCCCTTGGGCAATTCAAATGCACACATAGCAGTGAAATAACTACAGTACAGGTACAACAGATACAACACATTTAAACCAAAAATATAAAGTGCCAAGTTGAATACAAAAGTTAAATTACAAAATAGATAAAGATGTGTGGGCAGTGATCAGACAGATGTAGACAGATGTAAACAGAACTATATCTGTGAATGGGAAATGGGAATATGTACTGTATATATACACAGAGCTTAAAGCATGCATAGGGAGTACAACTCCATCTAAACTTCTTAATTTTGACATCGACATCACTTTTTCGAACCTGGAAGATGTTAATAATTTAAAAATGCTCTAAGTTTATCTCAATTCATTTTAATTATATAGTTTTTTTTCCTTAGTTTGGTATGTCAGAGGGCTTTAAGTACCAGAACTTCCATCACCACTGGCTGCTATTGTTGTGTAAAAAAAAGCCAATCAGAGGGAGATGTTCAAGCAGTGGTAAAAAAAAGTAGTAAACAGTGTTTCATTGTTTTTTGTTTATTTTTTTTATAATTTTTATTATAGTAACACCCAATAGACAAACAAAAACACAAGAGGTACACTTCACCTCTCCATAAAGCCAGGACAAAACAAAACACAGTAAAACAAAGAAAAAAAACCCCAAAAGAAACAAAGCAAAACAAAAACGAACAAAAAGTAAAAAAGCAGAAAAGCAAGACCCTTCCCGCCTCCATCAACCATCAAACCAGTTCCTGCCCTCCACCATCCCACCCCAATCTTTATAAATGGAAGATAACATAGATAGTAAACAGAAGGAAGAGTCAGTTACTCAACATATCAGTGAACATTTGTAACCGAACAGGTTTCATCTAACCGTAAACCAGGAAAGGTAAAACTAAGAATTGTATTAAAATAAGCCGCGGAAAAAGAAAGAGAATCACTTGGCAGATCAAGAAACAAGACATTTTGCAAACGCTAAGTAAAACTTGAGTGATGATGGCATATATTTACATGCATATATACAGTCATATATATATGAGATGAGATGATGAGATTCAACTTTATTGTCATTACACATATACAAGTATAGAGTAACGAAATGAGGTTTGGCATCTCACCAGAAGTGCAAATAAGCAGAAAGTGCAAGAGTCTGTGCTATGTACAGTAATTACAAAATTTACAGATGTAGACAAAAAAGTGAATTATTATTATATATATATATTATATATATATATATATATACACACAAATGTACACAGTCATACATATTTCTATTGTTTTAATTAATTAATTATTTTGTTGTTGTTTATTGTTAAAGTGGTATTAAATAATTTTCCAGTGAGGCCCATGTTTCTGTGTATTCCTGCTTGTTATTTTGCAGCCTAAAAGCTACCTTTTCTAACCTGGTTATTACCATTGCTTCAGTGATCCATTCTTGCATTTAATTAAATCCAATTAGCCATTTTTTTGTGACCATACAAACAGAGAGAAACATTTTTTTGTTCTTTGAGGAAACACCATTAAAGCTATGGAGGTCTCCAAGTATACATGTTTGTGCTGTGAGTGGTATGACTGGGTTAATATGGATCACAATATGGAACAGTGTTTCATTGATGATTATGACACAATGTGAATCTACAATGTAGAGGCCAAAATATATTCAAGCATAAATCTGTCACTCTGGATTGTACTGTCACTTTTCACATCGAAGAAACCTGCAACGGTGTATTGATCCTTTATCAGAGAATTCCATATTTCTGACAGAGTTTGTCCTCTTTTGTCATGATGGCTCAATCTTAAGAGTTTCAGGTGCAACCAAACCAGCTCACATTACCTCCTCCCACAAAGAAAAATACATTTGGAATTTCAATAATGGAAAACCTAGCGTTTAAATATGGGGACTAACGTTGAGATTTTGTGCAACCTCTACTTTGAATCTGATGGTTCTTTGTTGAGACCCAAACATTTTTTCAAGTGAAAATTTTTTAATCGACACATATCTGAAATTAAGACTCTTGTCCTTTTAATGTAATGGAACCTCTGTTACTTTTTTTTATTATTATACAGGAGCATAGTGGTCCTATGAAGATCCAGAAACACCTTTAGCAGCATATAGGTGCATTAACTGTGCAGCAGTAAGGCTACATAGAACTTGAGCAGGTGAGCGTTTAATGCTTAAGACAAATCTATATTCAGGTTTGTGAAATTATTTAGACACTCTTTAATTATCTTCCTCCTGCTGATGTTTTAACATATTCTGAATGGCTGTGAGTACGAGACCTCCAAATGCTAATTAATCAGAGTGGCTTTTCACTGTAGATGTTTCTAACCTCTTATTTGACAGGGAATATTTCTGACTCAGATTCGATTAACAGAGCTTCTGGGGTTATCATCATGTAAACAGGAGGTGTCAACATTCTCCTCAATCATAAATCATTTGTCAGAGTCAGCCTCTGCAGTCTGGTGATCACCTTCTGTCTACTGGAGAAAATTGAGGTCCCTGACATAGAATGATCCATCAAAAATAAGTCGCTGTCTTACGCTTCAATTTGCATCTGCAGCGCACCTCCCGCTAAATATGACACCAAAACACACAACATGTATGAATGAACTACACATGATAAACCTTGTAAAATAATTGTATATTAATCTGACATGATCAGAAGTAAATGAGACCTCATTCTGAAGACACCTCTGATCTCCCTTCAGTTTGTATCAATATCAAAACAATTAGAAATTGGATTTCACTTTGTCTTTTATTCATGACACTTTGTCGCCAGGTATTGCAGGAGGTGTGATTTAAATGAGGAGGATCAATGATTGTCAACTCCCATCACGCCACTGTTGATCATGCCGTGCTCAAAGTGCTGCGCTGCAGTCGCCATGATGAAATCCTGCTGATGTTAAAATAAGGTTATTGGAGGTCTCGGGGAGTTTCAGTTCAGGTGGTGTTGTTTTCCTTCTCTACAGCTGTTGTGTGAAGTGTAGACAGATGTTAAGACCTCTCAGGTACGCTGCTGCACCTGTAGTGTCACATCAAAGCTTAGCTCATTAATGGGAAAGTATTGAGTACTCAACATGACGTGTATTGCTCACAAAAAAGGAAATAAACCTGTTGTGAATTTACATTTTTTATATATAAGTATTTAAAAAAGGAGATAAAAGTAAGAAAATTGTACAAATGAGAT